GTGGAGAAAAAGGGGACAGTTATGTTGAACACGCCGATAGAGCTACGCAGATGCATGTCAGTGGTTGTAAGCATCAGAGCTCGAGGAAAAATATGGAGAGGAAAATATAAAAACATCAGGTCGGACCATATACAAAGTTTGATTGTAGGTCTAGTAGCTATTCTTGAAGAAATCTATCGCGCTATGCGAAAAAGATGCAGATGAAGGATTCGACGTACGATGTTCCCGCTTCGAGCACCAGCACATTATTAGCAGATTCTTCAGAGAGCCTGCTGGCCAAAGCGAGTCCAGCTGTTCCTCCTATAAGCGAAAAAAAAAATGTTCAGCATTCATAGCTTTTCGGGTATCCGAACAGAATGACCTCCTGCAATCACGAAATCATACTCTCGCCCACTAGGTAGTTCACTGTATTGGTCATAGATTGCACCGAAAGTAGGCGCGACCTTCATCGACAAAAGCCAAACCACTGTCGTTGCTGCGTGAAGTAACCGATGCATCTTTTTTGGGTTCATCGTAAATGAAAGACGACAAAGGTGAGCGTATCGTTTGACGCATTATAAATGAGAGCATCAAACAGAGCAGCGTGAGCTCTGTCAGATGCTCTGTCCAGAAAAAAACTCTTATATGATTTAGTATAATAGACCCACACTGTACCTGCCGCTTACTGGATCTGATGATGTGGTGGCGGATAGGATGTTCGCATTCAACAGATAGAGCGTCATTACAGAACCACCCAGTGCAAGAGACGCGCTCATGACGGAAGGGAAAATGAAGAAGAATGGGGAAACAGATTCGTTTAACGGAGCTAAAGCTCATTGATACGAGTTTTGCCCATTGTAATCCATCATGGCCTCGGTGAGATGATACTGTGCAACATATAATATCACCGATCTGAAGAGCAGGATTAGCGTGTACAGGACTATAAGAGATTGCGAATACAGTACCTATAAGTACGGTTTGTCCCAACGACTTCAGCCAAGCCGAATTGAGTTTTACAGCGTGTCACTGACGAGGTGCAGAGAAAGACATACTAGACTAGGAACGGGCGTTTTGCTGCTCCCGGAGAAAGGCATGAGGCTTCTTCAAATTTTTGGAAGGTCATATGAGCGCTGATATAGTTATCCCACCAGAAATAAGTCCAAAGAGGATGTTGGGGTAAAGAGCAGAAAAACAAACCCGTGTGAATTTTAAACATCCTCAACAAAAACCACAATGTGCCAAATCGTCTGGGCCGTATCATCAAGCTAACCATTTTCTGCAATTCTCGAACTCGAGGAATATATGTTCAGCGTTACATAGTGAGCTGAAGTTCTCGATATCACTAGATGCTGTTCAAATCAACCAATAGACGATTCTATGATGAGCCAATGTCAACGGAGCGCTGTTTGGCAATGCACCTAATTTCTTCGGATTCTGTCCTTGACGTTGAAAGTCTGCATCCCCTTGCCAGTGTGGTCGGATGTTTCTGGCACATTCTGTCGGGAAATGTACATGCAAAGGACGTCTTCTCTGCAATACTGTCCAGCTTAGCATGAAATTCCCTATACAAAGCTAACTTTAATCAATGCCGCTCGAGGTTCACAATCGAACCACAGAGCATATGGATGATCATGATCGTCCAGCGTCAGTCTGCCCAAGGGTACCCTTCTAGGCTCTAGCCTTAGGTGGATCAATGAGGCTCGCCGGATGAACCTTATACTTCGACACGAGGCAGCCTTTTCGGACGCCACCGTAGCATCCCTCTGCTTTCTACTTGTTTCTACTCCTCATCCTGTTCATCATCATGTCTGCAAACTCAGATCCAACTCGGACTCGTCGTCGTCGTCGCAACTCGGAACGTGCCACTGAACATGGTCATGTTCAACGTGCTCTTGTCACAGATTCCAGTGCTGTTGATGCTGGGGTCAGACCCGGTTCAGAGAAAACCTGTCCCTTTTTTGCGCGAGGTCACTGCCGTTCCGGTGATCACTGTAAGCAACGACACGCTGCTCCAGGGACGATAGGCGTGCCACTCGACCAATTGGTTCCACCCAATAATCTGGAATCACAGGTGAACAAATATCTGTTTGGATTTCGCATTCCACTCACTCTTCTTTCTTACTCTAGCATCCAGCAGCCTCCCCGTCGACTATGAACGATCATAGAACGCACTTGCGGTCCAAGCCGTGCTTTGCATGGAGAAAAGGATCTTGCTCCCGAGGAGATCAATGTCGATTCGCTCATGATACGATAGAACTAACACGGACTGAGTCTCTGCCGCATTTTTCTGTCGACACTTCGATCAGTCTGCCTCAAGGGCGTGTCGTGCAGCAAAAAATAGAAAACGAGGCGCGCGCACACGAGCGTGCGCGCAAGGCGGAACAAGACAGACAAAGGAAGGATGAACAAATACGACTTCGCGAGGCTGCTGCGGAGAGGAAGAAAGCGGAAAGGGCGGAAGAAGAAGCTCGAGCTTTGGAGCAGCAAAAGCTTCACCAACAGGAAAGACATCGTTTAGATGCTCTGTTCACCATTCAGCGCGTCCCGTTCGGCTCTACCATCGTCACGTTTGGCGCAGGTGCTCAGATCGAATCCACTGTCGCTGGTTTCGAGACATGCCGGGTTACGATCAAGAACATACCATCTGGTGTACAGATGAACCAGCTCTCCAGTTTCTTGAACGAAGCCGTGACGGGGAACGCAAAGCAGAAGCTTCATCTCGTCAGTCTGAAACGATGGGACCACGCTCAGGAAGGCGTTGTATTGGCCGAAGTTGATGTTGCCAAAGATCTGATCCGGAGGCTTGACGGTGCTATCTTCAAGGAACAATCCCTCAAGCTCCACCTCCAAGAAAGCGGTAAAGCTGGTGGTATGCATCTGCGAACTCGAGACACCTTCTCTTTGAAGATTACCTGGAGGGATCCCTCTGCTCGATGCATTGTCACATATTTATCAGAGTCCTATGCAGACGAAGAGAGGAGACGCTTCGATGGGACTGTAGTCTTCGGTAGGAAGGTCAAGATAGAGGTCAATACTGATCGATATAAACGCAGCACTCCAAACCAACTCTTGATCAGTGGCCTCCCTTGTGAAGTCACCGATGAAGATGTTAGAACCTTCTTTGATGGAAGGGCTGTCCGGAGGATATCGGGGCAAGGTCTCAGTGCATACGATGCCAGACTTCAGCTAGCTGAACATATCCGCCATTGTTGTTACATCCGTTCTATCACTCCTCCACATTTCGACGAGTCCCAGCTACAAACAAATACTGCTGCTCATGAACATACTATCTCCCTCTGGTTCGATAAATGGGACTCTGCTAAACAGATCCACGATCTGCTCAGCGGACAGAAGTTTCACTGGCTTGGAAATGCCTTCCTGCGACTGTGGCTCCCTGACCCTATACAGTACGAAATCATCATTCCCTTCAATCAATATCAAGCCCAGCACCCTCGCTGGAAGTCGCTTTTGAACGACAATGGAGGCAAGAAGGATCTACGAATGCGTATCAATGAAAAGCCAGACAAAGACAGAGTTTTTGTTCAGGTCGGAGGCAATGATGCCAAAGCAGTCGGGATGCTGAAAGTTCGAATCGAAAATCTCGCCGCAGGAGAGAAACTTGGTGTATGGCACAGGTCATTTGACACGGATTTTGGGCGGTCATTTCTCCGCGACCTCCTGCAGGTTACCAAAGCGCTTGTCATTCCAGACTGGAGACTGAAAACTGTCAAAGCTTACGGTGACCCAGCGGCGATCGAGAAAGCTCGAGAGGCGATAGATCAAGAGATCGTCCGCCTTGCAGGTCTGGAGTATACTGTCACTTTGAAGCGCGAGAGTGTGCGGTTCTTTATACAACAAGGGATAGCTTATCTGAAGGAGAGGTTCGGAGAGGAAAATGTGACATTGAGTATCTCCGGCCTTCCCCGTGTTACCATACGAGGAGGTGAAGACGCTCGACACGCACTTTACTCCCTCATCGAGCAGTCGCGTACGCAGGTCGTACTATCCAGGAACGACCGAGGTTCGAGTTTGTCCTGTCCAATCTGTTTGGATGACGTGTCGGTTCCTGTGCAACTTGGATGCGGGCACGAGTACTGTTCTGCATGCTTACACCACTTTTTCGCAGCGGATGTCAAGAACTTCCCTATTGTCTGCCTCGGTGATGAGCTTCGTTGTGGACAGCCGATCGCACTACCCACCATTCAGCGATTTCTAACCGAACCCCAGTTCAATGCTCTCCTCGAATCCGCCTTCCTACAATACGTCGAGAGAAACCCGGAGCTGTTCAAGTACTGTCCCACTCCGGCCTGTGAACAGTTGTATCGGTGTGCAGATCCATCTTCCCACAACTCCAACGCGAATGCGTGCTGTCCATCGTGCCTCTGCGAGATATGTACTAGATGTCACGAAAACCACAAAGGCATGACCTGCGATGAACGACGAAGAGCTCGAAATGATCAAGAGAACAATGAAGAACTGAACGCTCAATGGGCGGAAAAGACCGGGGTCAAACGATGCCCCAAATGTAGTCTTTGGATCGAAAAGACGGAGGGATGCAATCATATCTCGTGTAGATGTGGAGCGCACATCTGTTGGCGGTGTATGGGTATCTTCGAATCGACGGCCATCTATCAACATATGAATGCAGCTCATGGTGGGATTGGTCAAGGCGACGGTTTGATCCAGAATGTTGACTATGATGTCCAAGCCCAAGCCCGCGAGCTGGACATTTGGAACAACTTTGCCGCTGCTCGTCGATTTGCTCAAGCGCTTCCACGACCCGTACCTATCCCTCAGTGGCAAATGGATCACCGTGAGGAGCTTCGGCGGGAAGAGGACTTACGTAGGCAGCAGCAAGAGCAACGGATGCGTGATCTTGAGGCGACACAACGGAGGGCTCGCCAGGAAGAAGGTGGAAACTGGTGTATGATTATGTAGAAGTTGATTTGTGTATTCACGACTTGAATTTCATGCCATGTACAAAGGGAAAGAAAACAGTGTTCTGCTTTCAACAAAAAACTTGATGAGAGTGGGATTCGAACCCACGCCACAATGTGACCAGATAAAGTGTGCATCCTATGCACTGATCGCCTTAGTCTGGCGCCTTAGACCGCTCGGCCATCTCACCCCAAATTTTTTGATGCCTCATTGTTATTCAGACGGTGATCTTCGCCACCATCTGCAGACTCCTTCCCATCCGCTATCGCAGCTGAAAAAATTATAATCCCAGTAATTACCATAAATAGTTAATCTCATATCTAATCATATCATGTGATTTTATCTACGTTGAATTTTTTAGCTGCTATAGCGACTGGCTATTAGCGCTTGGTGGCCTTGTTTGGTCCCAGCATTCAATTTTATAGCGCCCACCACCCAAATGCCCTTTGTTTTGAAAATTGAGACAGCTATTCTCTAGCACAATACATGACTGACATCCAATATGACTCTTTGAACAGATTGTGGCCAAAATATTCAATGTTGAGTGAGATTCAATGGGTGCTAAAAGCTGGAACCAAACAAGGCCACCAAGCGCTAATACAAGTTATGCCAGTTCCGAGTTAAGAATCCTTTGGGGTTCTTAACAGAGGATAAGATGTGAACGACGTGAGAGTTGGCAAGCGCCATTTAGGCGCCCTAACTCATTCTTATTGCCAACTCTCACCATCGCCTTTTCTATACATCGAATTTCGTGTATTTTACAATGACACAAATCTTTTTGAACCCACTTCCCAACGACAGTTCTTTTCAGAGGACAGACCGAGTTCATCGTACCAATACTTCGCCGGAAGTTATAGCCGCATATAAGAAGCTCAGTCTGGAGACGCGTATAGAACTCAACCATGGAATCGATAAGCGCAACCAGAATCGAGGTCTCAAGAAGGCGACAGCATCCAGCTCGACCGAGGTGGTTTCAGATGTTGAATCTGAGGTTGATATCGAGCCCTACGAATGGGATATCGTTCGGACCAATCCTACTGTTTTCAACCACGTCAAAGATAAACTCAAAGCGCACACCCTAGCCTGGATAGATGGGAGAAACAGAGAAGAGAATAGGCAGCCGAGAGCAGAGGATGAAACTGAAGAGCCTGCTCCAAAACGGATGCGCTTCAAAGAAGAGGTTCCTTTGGAGGAAGTCGACAGTACTCAACGTCTCGCAGTCGCAATTCCAGAAGATCTCTGACAGTTGGCTATGTCCGGTCAGCAAATCCCACTCTGTATTCTTACAGAGAAGAATCTCCACTTCATAAACGCGAATCTACCCATGTTCAAACGCGATAAACTCTCCCATCTCGAAGATTCCCCTCGTGTTATCAACATCTCGGACATCTTGAAGAAGATCAAAGACTCGCAAGGAAGGGCGGGTCCTTCGCGAGACCAAGATCTATCCTACAACACTTGGATGGAGGCAACTCAGAATATGTTCGACTTGATCTCCAGGCGTTTCTGGCAGAGTGACAACAAATCCCCAGAAGCAATCTTCTTTAGGCAGCACACTAGTTTCTTCGAGAATCAGACTCACAGTGCTGACCTTATTGAGCTGTGGCTCGAGCACGAGATCGAGCTTAGGGAGGAGCATCACATCAAACCATTGGCTTTCAACCCTCTCAAATATTCCAGCGTTTGGACTCGCGTGGAGGCGAAATGGGACACGATTAAGCAACAAGCCCAAGTTCTTAATCTCTACCCAAATGTTCCAATCCCTGAGCTTATCCGTCGTTTCAAGACGGGTGCTTTGTCCAACCCACTGAATTCAAAGACCTCGTTTTATCCTTCCTCCACATCAACCTACCAGCCCTTTTGGAAGGGCAACGGGGAGCAAGGCTCCAGAACTCCCCATTGCATTGGTTGTGGAGCCAAAGGACACACACTCGCAGGCCACAAGTATGCCGAGCACGGAGGTTTTCGGTGGGCAAAGATGTCGGGTCGAGACCTCATCAGTCCAACCCCGGCAAAGACCCAGCTCTGCATTTACTGGAACATCTTTGGGAAATGTGACAGGAACTGTAGCGGCGAACGCCACATCTGCACTCTCTGTGGAAAGGATCATTGGGCGCTTCAAGGGAACTGCAACAATCTCCAACCCCTCTGAGTCCTTCGAGGACCTAGCACCAAATCCAAAGCTTTCTTTCTTCGATTTCAAAGACAGTATCCATGTTCGGGCTCCTCTCCCTAATACACCCGAAGAATTCATCTCTCTATACGATCGCATAATAACGCCATACAACCCAGATAATTTCTACATAGAACTCTGCAGCACAAATCTTCTTGACCAATACCTGTTTCTTGTCGACAATCTTCGCAAAGGTTTCCCACTCGGTTGTATGCCAACACTCTCCGAAACAATAATTATCCCCAATCATTCATCAGTCAGCAAATTTCCCAATGTCGTGTGGGATTATATCCACGAGGAGAGTGAAGCCAGACGAATGTCAGGACCTTTTACGCAAGGCGATAATACGCCCATTTTGCGTGCAGGCATGCAATGGCCTAATTTTAACGATTAGAGCCTTGTAGAGTACTAAAGGACTGTAGTGAGCCCGAGCTGACAGTCAAACTTGTATCATGTTAATGCCAGGACGTCAGATCCAGACAGGAAAACACATCCTGACGAGTAATAAGAGTTAACACTCGAGTCCCTTGGTCGGGGAGTCCTTCAAGACAAAGCCACCTCTGATATGAGCTATCAAGGGATTATCAACTTAGTTTTCAATGCCTAACGGCCAACTGAGTATGATACTGCACCGAGACGAGCTTAGAACCAATAGATCTATTCGTATTACCAGTGGGGATGGATTATTCAAGGCCCAGACTCAACAGATCTGTTCACTTAGATCAAGTTTCGGGATGGATCAGGTCGCAGGAATGTGACTAAACGGAGAAACAACCAAAGTGTATCATCCCAGTTACATGTGGACGTTTCCTAAATGGGAAATAGACGCCTGAGATGTACAGCTTTGACCAGGAGTGTTGCAAGGGTAGATCTTTCGACTTCACCATTGTTAAACCTCTGGATCTATTCGATATATGCATATCGTTGGAAAGCTAGAAGCCAAATGAACCTATTGGGACAGGTTTCCCCCCTTTATATGTACTCCCATTCAGTTGGAGAGGCATACAACCGTTCACATAGCGGAATCAAATGAGGAAACATTTGAGTTACCTGTGCAGGAGCTTATCCGTGCCCTTTAACCACCAGCATGTGGATGGACGCACAGACCAGGTCCGGATTCGAAGGTCAGGCAACTAGATCTCGACAAAGGACCACCAGAAATGGACATTTTACTTGTTTTTATCCTTTTTACTCTCTGTTTCTCTGGTGTTTGTATCGTTTCTCATCCTATCTTTCCTTATTTGTATCAGATCTCGGACTCCGTTCTCTCAAATCTATAGATCTATTCCATAAAATAGTAAATTGGCTACAGATCTCTTCGTAGAAGTACTTAAGGACGTAGCCTACAAAAATATACTCAGGTTTTGTGCCCAGTTTCTCTGACTAGCTAACCTTTGCTCTCATACGTGAGGAGTAAAGGCTTTGTAAGCCGGGCGGTCTTCGAAAGTGGTTGTGAAATTCTCATCTCGTTAGGCCCGATATCTTGTCAGTTGATAAAGTCTCAGCTAGATTTGAATCGAAGGTAGACTCCTATCGTGGAGATACAGAGGACTTGGTTCTCGGTTGTTCCAAGTGAGCGTTCAGAGTTTCGGTGGCTCTGTTCAACTGTGATCGGTGATCAGTAGATCTTCAACCTGGTTCTGATAGTATTTGTGTGGTCATAAAGTCTGATCTATACAAGTTCTCTCGTTCCTTGTAAACCCTTTGAGTGGATCACTCACCCCCTTCGAGTCCAGATCAAAAGATCTGTACTTCCGTGTCACTTCGCTCTGTTGACCTGTATTGCGGATCCAGTAGATCTTTTAAGACTACCAGTTCGTTCTAAGGTATAAGATCGTGCGGAATCTCTGACAACGCCCCACACCTCGCTTAAATACATTTGACAAACGACATAAGAAGTATATTGGTGATCAGTGTTCAGTGATAAAGTCACTAGGTCATTAGATCTATCCAACGAAGCATTAAATTGCACCCTTCATATCCTCGTTAGCGAGATGGAGCTGATCATGAGGGGTTACTTCTACTCATCTCCGCTAATTGTCTCCGAGCAAATTCAAGGTCCCGATAAACCACCCAAGTATCGGGTCTGTCGAAACCTCTCCAAAGACGGTCGAAACTCTCGGGGACAAGCGGTTCTTTCTGTTAACTCATATATCGAGAAGGCGTTTTTCCCTACCACTTTTGATTCTGCGTTGAAAACTGCTGAACTGGTGAGTGTTTCCTCAAAATTCATGATTCAGAGTTATCTGCTCTGTTTCTACCAAATATGAATATGTGCGATTGCTCATAAATAAAATCTTCAATCGAATCTCAGCATTTGCTCAATTTTGGCTATCGCCTAAATAATAAATTCAATCAGAACGGATCCGTTCATAATCTCATAATCCCAATAATCCATAAATTCACCAATATTAATATGATTAAATTCACAGGTAACCTCTGCCCCAGCAGGGACGAGAGCCTGTTCAATGGATATTTCGAAATTCCATCGTACCGTCCCTCTGCTACCTCATCATAAACCTTACATGGTCGTCTGTGATCCTTCCGGTGGTTTTTGGGTAGATCACTGCTTCGCCTTTGGTGCTTCATCTGCCAGTAGTTCCTCTGGGATGATATCGGCTGCTTTCAGGGACATCTGGCACATAAAGGGAATATCCCCAGTTGTGAAGATTGAAGATGATCTGGCCGCATTCGTGACACCACACATGGCAAAAACTCTTTCGCTATACAACCGGGATGACATTCTTGCTACCACAAAGGACCTCGACGTACCATGGCATCCAGTGAAGGGCGAGCGTTATTTGTTTTCCTCTTCGCATTCATAGGTTTCCTGTGGGATCTCGAACGGAAGCGAGTCAGCCTCCTGGAGGAAAAGCGGGTGAAATATCTTTACAGACTCCAAGATTTCCTTTCGACATACAAGAAAAGGAAAGTTCCACGGGTAAAAGTAGAGTCTATTCACGGAACGCTCTGCCACATTTCTTTCATCTATGCCGATGGTCGCCACACCTCCCGCC